TGTCCTGGCTTGGAAGGGCTCAGAGATGGGGCTAGTCTGAGGCCACATCAGTGGGGCCAGGCGCCCTGGTGAGGGATTGGCATGGATTTCCTCATTTAATCCTCACGACGACGCCCTATGCTGGGTTGAGGAACTCACCCACGGCCCTACCTTCATGTCCCTGAGTGACTTCCTCACCTAGGCCGGGCTGGAACAGAGATTCAAATCCAAGCCTGTCCAAGGCAGGGTTCCAAGCACCTACCTACTGCACTAACCACCAGCTCAGCCACGTCTGCCGACAGATGCCTGTCTGTGGCAACCTTAGGGAACCTGACAGCTGTATCATCAGTGGCTGGTCCCCTGTCTGAAAGATCATGTACTGGCTCATTTCTCTTTGTCTTATCCATCCTCAATTGTTTTCACTTCCTGCAGTTGGATTTCTGAATTCTCCAATTTGTCTTCATTATTCTATTTGATTTTATTTTACTTTCAGACAGGGCCTTGCTCTGTTGCCCAGGCTGGAGCGCAGTGGTACGATCAAAGCTGGCTGCAGCCTTGACCTCCTGAGCTCAAGTGATCCTTCCACCTCAGCCTCCAAGTAGCTGGGACTATCAGTGCACACCACCATGCCTAGCTAACTTACTTATTTTTACTAGAGACATGGACTGACGATGCTGCCCAGACTAGCCTCGAACTTCTAGGCTCAGGCAATCCTCCTGCCTCAGCCTCCCAAAGTGCTGGGATCACAGATGTGACTACTGTGCCTGGTCAGATTCATCTCTAGTTTAAAATTCACCTCCCAGGGAGTCTTTCCTGACACCTTCTCCCCCAAGTCCAGGTTAGGTCCCCCCTTACATCGCCCAGTGTTTCCCTCTTGGTTAACACCCACCCTGCTTTCAGTCATGTGCCTGATGTGTGCAAGCAGCTGGAAGAGAGCAGACCCTCCATAATAATCTGTAACAAGGATGGAAAGGTGCTTGGGGAGGGTGTGGTTAGAAAGCCAAATGATGAGATGCTCCTTCATCACACAGCCTCCCCAACACTGTGCCCTGTCCCTGGGCTGCTCACGATGGTCCTCTTTGCTCACTTAGGGCTCACATGTCATTCTTAGGGCTCGATTCTCACAGACCCCACATTCCCTGCCCCGAAGCATTCCCAGAATATAGAACCCTGGCAGAGGATGCAGCAGATGGGGTTCGAGCCTCGACTCTGACTAGCTGGGTGGCCTTGACAATGTGCCATCCTACAAGAAGCACTAACATTTATTGAGCTCCTATATGGGAGAGACACTTCCCTAAATGCATGTGTGGATTAGCCCATTCAAAACAGATCAGCCCCATAGGTAGGTGGGAAAAGCAAAGCACAGAGATGTGAAGCTGTTTGCCTACCGTCACACAGATGCCGAGTGACCAGCCCAGGATCCAGCCCAGACACTGCACTCAGCCAGCATGCTCCACTTCCGTTCAACACTGCAGGAAAAAAGAGCAGTGCTGCCCCCAGTTTTGTGCCTCTCACATCACTTTGAAAAACTTTGCAAAAGGAGGGTCTTATTGCAGACCCTGACGAATCTCACGCAGCCCAGCCTACCTCCCAAACCCACAGTCAGGAGGCCCTTACAGGTCAACCGAACTACAGAGAGCAAGTTCAGGACCAAAGAGTCAGATTGGGGTCCGCATGGCAGGAATTGCTCACAAGGGATCCAGGGCTCATGAGGACCCTCTGTCGAGACTGTGTGCTTAGCCCCAGGCAGGACACCAACTCCAGGAAACAGAACACATCACTGTCTGCAGCTGGATGTGGCCTTAGAGAATAGTATCCAAGTTTCGGAGAGGTCCAGAAAAGCTGTGTGAACAGCTTGAGACCGCTAAGCTTGCTCAGAGCAGGACCAAGGCTGCGCTTGAACCCCAGCCCCTGCCTGGTGGCTCTTTCAGCCTCACCCTGAGCCCCTCCCAGTTCCTGGGGACAGAGCGAGCCCCTCTGGAAGGAAGGACCTGCGCCTCTAACTCCATCAGTACAACACCAAAAAGCCTCAATTGCTAGGCATGCAATTATTTTCTAAATAAATGGTACTTGAATATGTATAGCAAATCAGAGCACTTGATGAGAAAATCCAGTTATTCATAATAAATAGATCTGCTCCTTGGCTAATAAAGTGATTTTTATTCCTAGAGCTTGTTAAAACTATGCACTACAGATATATTACTTCTCGGATGACACAGTTGCAGCTTTCCCCAGACAGGAACATGTGAATCGATAGACACAAGCACTCACTCTAGGCACAAGACCTCTCTCTTACAGCTTCTGCCTCCATTATCCTCCCTGATGCCACAGACCCAGCCAGTTCCTAGCCTCAGAATAGCTGGTCATAGTCCCTGAGCAGTGAGGAGACACAGTCCAAGGCCACAGCCTTGCCCCACGACACCCTTCCCAGGGAGATCCTCCCCCAGCATCAGATCTGGGATACAGAAGATCCCAAGAACCAGGCTGGAGACCATGGAGTGGGAAGCGGGCCAGCATTTGCTGAGCAACTACTATATGCCTACATACCTGATCTTTTGACATCTATTTTCTCTTTCCCCACCCCAGCCATACAAGGAGTATATTATTCTCCCCACTTTGCAGATCAGGAAACTGAGGCTCATGAAGGGAACTGCTTTACTAAGGCTGCCCCTCCAGTAAATATGGACGTAGGGTTTGAGCCTAGTCCTGTCTTTCCAGTCCCTACTTCCCCAGACTCTGGCCCACCATGGCCGTGGGCATCGCAGCCAGCCAAACCAGGACAGAGACTAGGAGAAGAGAGGAAAAAGAGCCAGGGGAGATGCACAGGCTATTCTAGCCTTAAAGACACTCAAGGCCGGGTGCAGTGGCTTATGCCTATAATCCCAGCACTTTGGGAGGCTGAGATGGGCAGATCACTTGAGGTCAGGACTTCGAGACTAGTCTGGCCAACTTGAATACGTAATAGCAAATGGGAGCAGTGGATGAGAAAATCAAGTTATGCATAATAAATAGCTCTGCTCCTTGGCTAATAAAGTGATTTTTATTCCTAGAGCTTGTTAAAACTAGGCTAGTTTAATGCTAGTATTTTTAGAGATGAAACCCCATCTCTACTAAAAATTCACAGGTTAGCTGGGCATGGTGGCGCACACCTGTAGTCCCAGGTACTCAGAAGGCTGAGGTAGGAGAATTGCTTAAAGCTGAGAGGTGGAGATTACAGTGAGCCAACATCCTGCCAGTACACTCCAGCCTGGGTAACAGAGCAAGACTCTATCTCAATTTTAAAAAAAAAAGAAGAAGGAGAAGAAAGAAAAATAAAGACACTCGAGGAGGCAGCACCCACACCTGCCTTGCTGCCCAGACTCTTCCTCCTACTCTCAGGGAGGGTATAACATCCATAGGGCACTCTACCTGCCAGGCACTGCCCTGGGTACTTGGAAACAAAATCTCATGCCTACCTCTCTGCAATCCTCATTTCACCCATGGGAAAGCAGAGGTTCACAGGGCTGAGGTGCTTTTCCCAAGAATGCTCAGCTGAAGGGGTCTATAGAGCGCTCTCTCCATTCACAGCAGCACATCACCCCTGGACGTCTACCTGCCATCCTTCCGTGTCACCCCTGGACGTCTACCTGCCATCCTTCCGTGTCACCCCTGGATGTCTACCTGTCATCCTTCCGTGTCACCCTGGACGTCTACCTGCCATCCTTCCGTGTCACCCCTAGACATCTACCTGCCATCCTTTTTGCTGCAAAGCTCTCTCCTGCTCACCTCTGTCCACAGCACAGAGACAAACCTAGCCAAGGCTCCCATTTTCCAGATGTCAACACCAGCCCAGTAAACCACAAACGCCTCCTGTGTGTAGGACTCCCTGGTCACTCTCAGTCCATTAATCCAGCCCATCCCAGCACCCTGGCCCAACATGTCACCCAAACCTCTTCATTCTAGGCCCCCTACCCTACCCTTCTTTGCCAAGAGGACAGCTGGCTGTCCCAGTGTGTGTTACAACTGCCCCCAGCCTGGGCTTGCCTGGGCCAAGAGGGCCCTCCCAAGGACTGGCCAGAACAAGGAAAGGGACAGGAAAGGCCACATCTGGATCACAGACCTGAAGCCCCCTCCCCCAAACCAGCCATCACTCTCTCAGAGTCCGACAGTAACCTCAGCCAGGGATGACTTCCTCGCCCTCCTGACCCCATGTATGCCTTTGCCTGGCCAAGGGGGCCCTACCAGAGCCCCTCTGAGGAAGAGGCCCTCTCCCCCACCGACCCCCAGCCCTCCTGCAGTAGGCAGCCCTCTCCCAACCCCCTTTTCCCTGGAGCCTTAGCCCAGGACTGGCCTTAAGACTTTTACCCTTCACTACGTGCCCCCAGGCCTCTCTGCTGCCCCCCAGGCATCCCCATCTGAGACCTGAACCTGGGGCCAAGAGAGAAAGGGGGAAGAACAGGCCGCGGCTCCCTCCTCTGGGACTGGGAGGTCTTGGTAGCAGGGGAGGGCTGTGGAGGAAGGGATGGCAGGGGGTGGAAGCCGAAATTGGGTGTAGAAGGAATAAAGAGATGGAATCAGAATTCTCTCCCAGCCCAGCTCTTCCAGACTTCATATTTGGGGCTACTCTTCTCTGCTCCCACCACTGCCTCCTCCTCAAGCTCTTGGGCTCAGCAACTGAAGGAGGGTAAAGATTTTTCACCCCACCGTGGGATGCGAGGGTAGGGAGGGAATGCTCCAAAAAGCAGCAAAGTTCTCAACAGCTTCCTTCCACTTACAGCTCTGGGACTCAGTTGGGGGGTGGGGGTGGGGCAGGGGAGGTACTGGCCCGAGACCCTGGGTCTGGGCCCTGTTGGTGGAGAAAGTCTTTGGGCTGAGGGTTGCTCAAGTCAGTCTGTCTTTCTGTAGGCCAGAGACGGAAAGGCCCCTCCCTCAAGACTGACACCCCCACCCCAGGCTCTTAGCGAAAGAATAAGGTGGCAGGGTTCAGTGGCGGGCGGCGGCTTGAGGAAGAGTAACGTCCCAGCTAAAGCAGCCAGACCTACCCAGAGCATGCAGGACAGACAGATCCACGTCATCTTCGCCGGTCCCGTCCCTCGGCACGCCCAGGGCCTGCGAAGAGCCCCTAAAGCTAGAGTCCCCTCGGCGCTGGCAGAAGGTCCCAGAGTCCGCTGCTGCTCCGGCGTCCAGCCTCTCGCCCCGCTGCCTCCAGCTCACCCTCCCTCCTCCTCCTCTCCCCACTCCACCCCTCCTCCTCCTCTCCCCACTCCACCCCCTCGCCTCAGCCTCCTCTCTCCTCCCTCCTCGGGGCTCCACCGGTGGCCTTGAGGGTCGGGAGCTCTGCTTTGCAGGGGGTGTAAAGGGGACAGGAAAAAGGAACAGCTACCTGAGGCAGGGCTCCCCCAGCTGCACCCCCCGCCCCTGGACACACAATCCCTGTGTGCCACCAAGGCTCCTCTGTCTTCTGATCTGGTGCTGGCGGGCCTGGAGCCCTCCCTCCTCACTGCAGACCCCCGCCCCCAACAAACCCACTCGGGAGCCTTCACTCCTGGAAGCCTCCGGACCACTGATGGATGAACAGGCAGCCCCAGGCCCGCACAGTCCGCACACCCAGGGCGCCTCGGCCCCTCCCCCTCTCCGAGTACCCGTGCCTGCCTCCTGGCCTCATAACACACACGCATTTGCACACACACGACTGGGACAGACCCTGGTGCCCACGCACCAAGCTCAGAGCCCAGAACAGGCCTTAACACAGAAGAAATCGGGCCCAGACTGGGGAAGAATGGCCCTGCCCCAAGGCTGTGGATCTCATTCCAATTTTTTTCCTATTTCTTTTTTTTTTTCCCTCCTTCTTTCTTTCTTTCCTCCAAACATCTGTCCCAGCCCTTCCTGCCCTTCTGAAAAGGAGCCCCGCTCCAAGCTCCCGCGAGAGTGTGTTTTTCTTGACTGTACCCGGGGCCAACATTTGGTTTGCATTTCCCCACTTCCTCCTCCTCCTCCCCTCTCCCCCTCCTGGGCCCAGTCCTCCCCTCCCACCATTCCACAGGCTTTTTTCTTCCCCACAGTGTCCCATGCTCACCAGCCCTCCCTTCCCCTCACCCCCACCTCTGCCCAGGGGCAATCATGGGGGTCTAGAGGGTGGGAAGGAGGCTGGGTCAGAGCCCAGAAGTATTCTCAGGGAGCACTAAGAAGGAATCCAGCAAAGCCCGCCCCAGGCCCTCATTGTCGTTATAGAACGTGGTTATACACCACGTTCCCCTCCAAAAACACCCTTCCTCTTTGAGCTCTGGCCTTGGCTGGACCAACTGAGGGTGGGTGGGGGCCAGTGAATCACTCGCTCTGCTCTTTGGGGCTGTCCAGGAGAGGGAGGGAGGGCTCAGCCCCACACCCTCGTGTGGACACACACACACACACACACAAGGACGCAGTCCAACTCACGTCAGCACACAGGAGCCCTCCCAGAGTAGGCACTCGGAGACCTCGTTCCCAGACTGAGTCACTTAGCAAGAAAAGTCTTCTTCCCCGGGCTCCTTTGCACACTGTGCTATCCATGCCCCAGGGCCACAAGTACAGAGGGTTACAGATCCCCTGCCTCCCTCCCCACTCACCCAAGTCCTCGCCATGCTGCTCTCCATCAGCACCAAATACCATGCAACTACAACTGGCCTCCCCCTTCACAGTGACCAGCCCAGCCACTTATGCCAACTCCCAGCCCAGGGACCACTCAAAGCATCTACCTGGGAGACCCCAGAATGAAGGGGAAACAGACTTTTCATCTGAAAAAAGACTGCCGTATTCAGATACAAAGGTTGTCCACTGCACCAGAGACTATCCATCTATGGTTTGATGGTTCTAAGAAGTCAGGGGAGGATACTGAAACTGAAGTGTCAATTTCTGGTCCTTCCTAAAGCAGGTGCTGAGTGAAGAGTCTGTTCTGGTAAAGTTGTCAGGGTCTCCTCTCCATACTTCCCCAAGTCCCCCGGAGCTCTGGGGCTGGGAAAGATCCTCCCTCTAGCCTCCTCCCCTGCCAGGATCATAATCCCCCTCTGGACCTCCTACCCCAAGCCTGCTGGGGCTTCACTGACATTTTAGCCAACACTGAAATGAACCAGTGTTCCACACGAGGTTGGCCCAGCAGTCATGGCTGAGGACGTCCACAGACAGACACCCCTGCAAACTGTCCAGCCTCCCCTGGCTGGAGCACCAGGGAGGTAAGGGGAGGTGGTCTTCAGGAGGGAGGCTCTCTCCACCCATTATCACCAGCTCTGCCGGGCTGCCCAGGTCCTGACAAGTTCAGGGGCTCAGCCAGCTAACCCCTGACATCCCTGTGCCCACTCGTACCCAGCTCCCCCTGCCTGCTCCCACAGCCCTTCACTGCTGGCGTCACTGAAGACGCCTCCCGCCAGCTTTCTCTGGAGTTCTCAGAAATCACCTTGGAGCTTCCCAGAAATGCTGGAAAATCAGACCAAAGACCAAGTCACAGCGACACCAACTTGTCTGGCCTCCCATACAGCCCAAGGAGGCCCTGCTTGGACTCAGCTAGGACTGAGAATGGAAGTGGGGACCCTAGTGCTGGGGGTTCCTTTGGAGGCGCCCTCCCTCCAGAGTGCCCCCATTCCTCTTCACCAAGCCTACGGGGTCTCTCCTGAATATTAATCGCTCATGATCAGGAAGTTCTTCCTGCTAATTAACCACCATTCTCCCTGTTGAATGTTAAACTCTGCTGACGGAGGTGGCTCTAACTGTGTGTAATGACCCGGTTTCAGGCTTGTCAGCCTTTATTTCTCCTTCACAGCCTGGTGTCTCCACTCCCACCCACACATGGGCAAGGATGTGTCCTGTGTTTTATATCCCCAGAGCCTGGCACACAGCAGGCACCAGACACGGTTAAAGAATGACTCAATCATTCAAGCAATTAGTCAATGGTTTCTAACATATTTTCCTACTGTAAGCATTCACTGCCCCCTTCCCAAACCTTCCTTCTCTTCCCCTCGAAAGGGCCTCAGGCAGCCCCACCTGTTCACTTTGCCCACATATTCAGTGCCGCCCTATCTGCAGCCAGCTCTGCCTGCTGCCAGTGCCCCGCTGCAGAGCTCCAGCCAGCTGCAGACTCCCCGCAGGCCCAGATGGCTTCATTCATCTTGGGATCTCCACACTGTGCCCAGACCCCTGTCTCACATGCAGCAGACACACTGAGGGGCTTGGCCAGGGCTCTGCACTGGCATCCCAGAAGCCTCAGAACCCAGCCCCAACCCTGTGCCATCCCCGCCACTCCTGCCCTCCCCTGGGCATGCTAAGACCTCCCTCCGATCCTCCCTCCAGACCCCTGCTCAGCAGCCAGCTAAAGATACAGAGTCAGGACTGTGGACTCCGGTGCTGGCCCTGGGCCTGGAGGAGGGAGAGCCAAGGCAGAGGGAAGGGTGAGTGTGGGCAGGAATGAGCTAATGGCCTTACAGCCTGAGCCTGGCAGGCCCCTCCCTGGGCCTGAGTTTCCTTACCTGTAGAATCACCAGGCTGATGGCCTCCAATGTCCCTTCCAACTCCTTCTGTGATACCATGAGTTTCCCAGGCCAAGGCCCCATCCTGTCCAATTCAAGCTTCCTGTCCTTTAACTCTTGTCCATCTAAACATTCTTACTGATGTCCACCCCTCTCCTACCATGGCATCAAGCCTTTCCTTTGTCACCACTGGTCACAGCATCTGAAGGTCACTCTCCCCCTGCCTCAGGAAACAGAGCATTTTAGAGCTGGAAAGGCCTTGAAGCTCAGCTGCCCAGGGGTCACAGTAAGAGCCTTTGGGGGTCACACTGAAGTTCAATGAGGGGAGAGGGTGAGGGGTCATGGGGACCCGGCGAGGGTAACACCCACTCCTTGGTTCCCACTACAGCCTGCAGCAACACAAGCCCACTGCTCCACATCTTTTGATCTGCCACAGAACCCCAACCCCATATTTTACAGAAAATATTTTTAGAAAATTTAAAAAACACAAATTTGAAAGTGTTGGCTGAAAAACAAAAAAAACTCTGAAGGTCCAAGCGAACACGTTTGCCAGGAGGGTTAGTCTCAGGGCACCTCTAGCCTAATCCAGTCCCCTTGCTTAACAGACCGCCACTGCCACACTGCGTCAACAGAGGTGGGGTGACTCGCCAGAGGCCACAGAGCCCATCAAAAGCAGAGATCCAGTCTCTTGGCTCCCAGACCCTGGATTTATTCCCTAAACCCTGCAGCCTGCCACCTCTTACACTGGGGCCACTCACACTGTAGCCCACCTCTCAGACCATCCTGGGGGGCTCACATCCAACAGGTGGGGGCAGAGATGGCATGCGGGTTCTCCACCAGCATCCAGCTGTAGAGCCCAACAGCTCGAGACCCAGGAATCTCCACCAAAGCACTCAGCTCCTGGACCTGAACCCTCTCACCCCCTCAGACTCTGACACTCTGCCCCTGCTCCAGGAAAGAGTAATATCAACTAACCTGGCACTTGGCTTGCAGCATGGCCTTGAAGGCTCCTACTAACCCTCATCTTATAAATGCAGAAACGGAGGCACACAGAGGTTCAGCAACTAGCCCAGAGTCACACAGCTAGTACGATGTGTGAAAATGGAGGTTGGGGCATCTGATCCCACATCTCCCATGGGTGGAGACTTTTCCTACTGCTCTTATAGCAATGCCATCACCCCAGGACTAGGCTATGCTTCCATGTTGTGGTGACATGTTAACTGTCCTGTCCACTCACCTAAGGGCTGACGCTGAGGCTCCAGGGAGGGGTCCAGCCACCCGGGGAATGGATTTTGCTTGGCAAGAGAGAGCGGGGAGCCAAGGATAGTGCTACTACATGGCTCCCTCATGGCCCCAGAAGAGTCAACAAGGAGAGATCTGGGTGCGGGCAGGGTCTGTCCCATGATGCCCCTAGGGCCTCCCTGAGGTAAGCCATACTACCTCACCCTACCCATCACCCTCATACACACTCAGCCTCTGAGTCCTGTGTGCTCAAACCTCTAGCAGAGCCTCCATGAACCACTACCCAGGGTGCAGCCAAGGCGTGAGTGGGGGCTCAAGTTTCATCCATGCCCCACTCACCAAGCCCTGGCATGACATGCCTCAGTCCAGAACATGGGGCATTACATTCTAATGCCCACCAAGGCACCACATGGGCAAGAGGCCCTGCCCCCAGCCCCCACATCCAGCACC